GGGAATTGAATATTATAAATGTCAAAATAATAAGGGGGATAGTCTGGGAAGAATGCATGGAAAGTTTATGGGTGCTGATAGAGTGATTATCTATTGTTTTGTTCCTTACACATACATGCACACACACACACACACACAAACCACATCTTTCATCCTTAACGGATTTAGTAAAATATTAACTGTACACACACTTTCTTGCACATGCACACAGATTCAGACACAACATAAAAAGAATCAACCGCTAAAAAGAGAACCTCTTCAACCCCAAATGTGTATACCTGGAAGTTTAAAAACAGACACACTTTAAACACATTTTGGATGGAAATAGAAATAAAAACACTCATCTAATTAAAACGGAAGGACAGAGGACTAGATTTTAAACTATAGGGTTCAGTCAAAGCAGAAATCAATAGAATTACCTTTTGCCCCATGGGGATGATTTATAAAGGTTTTCAATAAGAGGATAATGATATCTGTAAAGTGAGCCGGGGACATATGCAAACCATAGATACCTGAGTGGATGTCGAGCTTGCACGTAATGGTCAACCCTAATCTATGAACAACTCTTCTTATGGCCTGGCTCTATTCAACACGGGCCCTCGTGAAGAGATCGCTGAAGATAAGGGTGCTACAGAGAAGTGTGGTGAAGCAGTCAGATGGTGCTTAATGATGAGAAAGAATAATGTTCATGTCAGGAAGACTTGTCTTAAACCAAGAGGTCATCTAAGTGAGGTGACATCTAAGTCCACATGGAAGAAGCACGCTAGACTGTGATCCAAGGATTTCAAGTAATAACATTCAAATCTGTAAATCGGAAAGGTAGTAGAGCTTAAATTCTGGACACCTAGTTTGAAGAGGGCTAAGAGCCCCAAATCTCTTTGCAGGGTCCCCACATAGGCCGGAGAGGTGCATAGCCTTGAAATTGTATTTATCATTAATTCATTATACAGTTTAACCAAAATAAAAATCATAACACTCTTTTCCCGTAATCTCAAAAACTGATGATGAAAGAACTGTCATCACAATTTTGGGCAAAAATGAATAAGGGAAACTTTTCCCTACTGGACAATATGTGCTATTGACACTAAAATACTGTACAAAATGTGGACTCTACAGACAGACTACATCCCAACACACACATTTCATGATATGGATAAACTGGCATTTCAAATGAGGGGTGTCAAATGTTGGTCTATTAAGCAGTGCTGAGAAAATTATCTGTCATTATTGGAATAAAGTAAAAATCAATCCCTGCTTAACACCATTCACATCCAAAAACATGTACAGATGGATTATAAACCTCGATATTAAAAATAAATATTTTGGTAGCATATATAGAAGACTGTAAGCCTTCTTTTATAATACACACAAAAAACAAAATTATAAAGGAAAAAATGACATAACTTTGACTACATAAAAATATAAAACTAAGATGTCATAGTAGTTAAGGTAAGTATTAGACTGGGAAAAACTTTGTACAACTTCTATTAAAGGAAATTACAATTATGGAATTTCTACACGGCAATTTTTAAATAAGCAATAACATAATAATCCAAGGACACAGGAATGAATAGATGACACAAAGTTGACCATGTAGTGATAATTTTTAATGCTGGATACTGAGTTCAATGGGCTGATTATACTATCCACTCACTTTGGTATATAAGTAGTCAACCATGGTCCAAAAAAGATGGCTTACCTGTGTGCTCACTTCATTTAATTTCACATAAATCTTATTACAGAAAGTTGTTATAATTGTTCCATTTTATCAATAGCTATTGTTGGTAATCTCTTCCTGCACCTAATTGATAACTCATGGGTAGGAGAAAGCAGAGTATATCTAGGGGTTGGTACTATGTGTGATTTCAAGGGTCCTCTGGGGTCTTGGAGTACATTCCCCATGGATAAGGGAAAACTACTGTCTATTCAAGTTTTTTCTATATTAATTATTTATGCACTACCCTGAAATAATGATCTAGCAGTATAGAATTTTTTTTAAAGTTGATAAATGTGTAACTATACTTACAATATATTTTAAACATGTATACCTTTCCTATGGGTGAGTTTGGCTAAGCCAGTTTCATGCATGTATGTGTGAGTGCATAGAAACTATTTTGAATACTATACATCCAACTGATATCACTGGATCTCTCTAAAATGTCAAGGTTACATGACTGCATCTCTTTGTGTCAAATGCATGCAACTGGAGTTGTTCTACGTTAGTGGTCGTTATAAAAACTGATGTTTTTGATGTGTGCATAAAAGAAAGGACTGTCCATCAAAGAAAGGAAGCTTTTTGTGTGTAAAGTTCACAAGTTTCAAAACACACAACTATCACCTCAAAAGGGTGAGTGATGCTATATATATATATAGCATAATGTGTGTATATATATATATATATACATATATATATACACATTATGCCTCAATATAATTCCTTCAGGAGCTCTGGTGACATGGTGAGTTCATTTATGAGTTTATAATTCCTTTTAAAAGGACATATATTCATCTAGAAAGAAGGATCAAAATATATACAATGTAGTTAAGAATAGGGGTTCACATTATGATCGTGGTATGGACAATTGCCTGTGAGAGACGGCATATATAATACTTTTAAAGTATTACAAGCATTACATATGGCTGGGTATGATGACACTCCTGTCTATCTTATCGCTGGATCCTGAGATTATCATTTGTTTCTCATTGCTTATCAGTATTTTAAATTTTTCTACAATGAATATAAATTAGTGTGTGATCAAATTATAGCTAGTGTTCAATGTAGGGCATGTGGACACTGGCCCTATGTTGGAGCCTCAGTATAAACAGTGCTCTCACAATGACTGCTGCCCAAGCTGACTCCAAGGATGAGCCTTGGCAGTGACCCCAGGGAATGCAGAGAGGGGGCTCCTGCTGTAACGAAAAAGGAACAGTGCTTAAGGCCCTGACAGCCATCACTCCCTGAGTGTCTGATCATTGGGTTACACAGCCATGCCTGAAAGAGTTTGCCAAATCGAATATAGCTCTTCTTAACGTACTGTGGGGCCCCACCAGCCACCATCAAAGATTACCTTCCCAGCATTCTAGAAAGCATTCTCTGACCCTTGTCGAATTATTTATAGGAGTTTAGTTCACATACTCAAAATGACATGAATACTTCTAATTATATCCAAACATGCCAAATGTCAGTGCACATTATGCGGAGGGTTCAGGTTGCCAAATGTCTTGCCCTAACAAAGAGGAGATAGCTGCCGCATCAGCACATTTGTTCCTATATAAGTATGACCGACTCGTAGTGCCTCATCTCCACCAAGAACCAAGAGGTAAGTGATGGGGGCTTGGGGACTTGGAAGATGGAAGGGCTACAAAGCCTTGACCCAAACCGGTCTCTGCAAACAGAAGTTGTTGCTCGTGCCTGGACTTGATTGTCCTCCGGTCAAGCTCTAAGCCAAGGAGATTCCATTCCGTAACTCTGCAGTTTTAGAGCTTCATTACTTAAAGAAAAACTTATTGTTTTTACAGCGCTGGACATTTCTGGATCTGCATTTTCATCGACAACACCCGAGGCAAGACTGTACTCTATGAATGTATTGATGGTAGAGGAGAGTTAGTGTAAGAAGGCTGTGAGAAATTCTTAATTAGAAACCACTTCCATGTATTTATAATTATATAAGCAGACCGTGTCTCTGAATGACTGCTCACGAATGCTAAAACACCATTTTCTTTTGCAGAATGTCTTATTCTCAGAGGCTGCATCAATTGAGTTAGAAGATTAAAAGGCCATTCAAGATAAAATGAACGTTATTGTTAGAAAACTGTCCGGGGACAATAAACTATTCCATACTAACTTCTCACTATTGAAGAATGCTGAGATATTTTACAAATGTCTTTCAAATGTCTTGGAATTTTTTTAATCTAAAAAAAGTAGATATAAACACATGTCTTGTTAAAATCATATAGTTTAGCTAATTTTACACTACTTACAGTTATTTGTTGTGAGAAAGATTTACTATGGATTGCTTTAGAAGTCTCAAATATTGTACAGACAATGTGCTAAGGACTGTGCTTAATTTAGGGAAGATCCTGGTCCCATCCCAGGTCATTTAGAAAATCAGCCAATCTAACATGATGACATTATACATCCATGACTCAGATGACAAAGGTTTACATGCATGTGATAAACCCCTCATTCCCCCCCCTTCTTTTTCTGTATGGAAAGAAAAGAAGCCCTTGGAAGTTGTGTGGCGAGAAGGACATTATTCTTGCTGAAGCTGCTGTGCCTATATAGTTAGATCTGCTAGCTGAAGTGTCCTGTGTCAAAAGAAGAGGGTGTGTCACAGAGATTTTAGAATTAAGACAATGCTAAGTCTCTTGGAAGCAAGTCAATGGACAAAAACTCAGTCTATCATTTTCTTAATGACTCACGAAGAAATATTATACCAAATATCAATATAAAGGAGCGATTAAAATAAGTGTAAGATAATTGGCTTATAAGCAGGGATGAGGATCAAAGAGAAAGAGCTTATTCTGAGAGCTTTGCAAATCTCAACTTTTATTTGAACAAACAGACTTGCTCTTTTAACCCAGCCTACGGACGATGTAAATGCTACGCAGAAGAAATGGGGATTAAATGATGATAATTCCTAGAAAAATCTATCCATAGTCGTAACAACAGATAGGCACATTTTAGAGATTAAAGGCTAGCAAACATTCCATTCTAACTCACTTATAGGTACCCAGCCTGAGAATCAAGATATATAGGAAGGAAATCAGCAAGGTTCTAAAAGCAAAGGTTCAAATTATAGTCTCATTCCAAACTCAGCCCTTTAGAACACCCCAGCGTCTTCGTGAAGGACAGACTGGAAACATAATTAGGTTCTAGGCTGCAGCTACTTTTCTTTTCGGTCATTTTTTATGAGGTGCATGTATGCCTTCAAGTTTCTCTCACACCCCCTTCCCCCTTTTCCCTCCAAGCAGAATCGTTGGCTAAGTTCATCTCAGCCATGAGTGGGGGTTCCGACGCGGAGATGGCGGTTTTTGGGGAGGCTGCTCCTTACCTCCGAAAGTCGGAGAAGGAGCGGATCGAGGCCCAGAACAAGCCTTTCGATGCTAAGACATCCGTCTTCGTCGCGGAACCCAAGGAGTCCTATGTGAAGAGTACTGTGCAAAGCAAGGAAGGAGGCAGAGTCATGGTCAAGACTGAAGGTGGAGCCGTAAGTAAAAATGAGGAGCCAATGCTCCCTTTTGCTGCCCCATTGCCTCCGTTTAATAATAGAACCTTAGTTGTGGGGAATCTCGAAGTCTATTGCCCTTTCAGATCAAGTTAGAGACTTCCAATTTGGCCAGCCCCCCAAATTCTCAGCAGTCACCTTGTTTCTCCCCTTCCCAGCCTCCTCCAGGACTTCCGTGACACCCACCTTTCACCATTTCTCTTCATCCCCCATATCCCAAACCTCAGAGATGTACCAACTAGATTTTTCTATCAGAAGAAACCTGGAGTTATGTACTGAGTTAAATAATTTCCCTTTCAGATCAGGTGTAAGGCATCATCAGAACAAAAAATCTTACCATAGTGAATGATG